TGGATATGCAGTTTTATTTTGAGAATTGAGTTTATTTTTTAATTATAATTACATCTTTAGTATAATTTAGACATAATATGATATTTTGCTAATAAAATATAAAGGTTTCATATTAAACGAAACTAATTTTTACTGATTTTACCGCGTTTAATTTTTTTTTTTTAATTCCATGAAAGGTGTATGTCGTCCCGGTGTCATAGTTAGCCCGACTACCTTCCGCTTTTGAATATTAATTTTAAGTCTGATCTACGCAGAATGAGCTTACAGTATCTTGACGTCTTGCAGTGGTATGTTTGTGTTTGAATTTAATTTAATTATAAGCATACCACTGGGCCGGGCTAACTATGACATGAGGACGTCAAACGCCTCAGTCCCCCCGTGACCATGGCTGCTGTAAAATACCCGAAACGTCGAAAATTAAGAAGTTAAATCAAACGCGGTAAAATCAGTAAGAATTAATTTTATTAAATGTGTAGTCTGCGTAAATATAAGAAGTCATTATGAAGATTTTATTTTCAATATTTATTTATTTAACAACATAAGTATAAAAACACAGGTAACTGCGGGTCCTAAACTAAGCGCAGCTTGTATCTCAGGACCCTGGCATGCGATATTACAAAATGGTTTGTCACTGGATAACATTTACTTAAACATATACTATATGGTAGTTTTAACATAACATGATTGATATCGGAGGTTAAAAATAATGTTTCTAATACAAATAATATGGTGGTATTATTTCACTACACAATTAAAATTAAAAATTAATTATAGCGCTTGTAGATGACTCTGTAATAGTTGAAATTAGAATGAGTACGATCGAGTCCAGTTTGTGAGTGAGTGAGTATGAGTGTGTGTTCGTGTGTGTGTGTGTGTGTGTGTGTGTGTGTGTGTGTGTGTGTGTATGTTAGTGTGTGTGTGTGTGTGTGTGTGTGTGTGTGTGTGTGCGTGTGTGCGTGTGTGTGTCATGTGTGCTATTTAATTAGCTCTTCAGTGTCATTATATGTTAGAGTATAGAGCATGTTCTTTAGTAAGGTTTTACATGATGAAAAGGAGCGGTCTCTAAGGTCAATTATTTTTAATATTCTATTGTAAATGAAGGGATGAGTGAAGGTGGGACAACGTTTAGCTAGGTCTGACTTTACGATTGGAACGGGGATTCTAAAGGTTCGTTTGCTTCTTAAATCATTGTAATCCGGGCGAGATCTTACAGTTTTGTGCACTTTGAGTGTGGCATTGTAAATAAACAGCTGTCGTACCCGTAGTACTTTAAATTCTTCATACAGGGAGTTGGTAGGGTATGTGAATGGTTTATTCAATATTACTTTAATTAGTGCACGTTGAGCCCTTTCCAATGTCATAAATGCAGTCCTCCCAGCGCGGCCCCAAACACAAATGCAATACTGCAGTATAGATTGGCATAGTGCAAAGTACACCTGACGTATTATATCCACAGGAGTACAAACTCGCAGTTTTTTTCATAATGAAAATGAACTTTCGCACACGGGAAGACAGATTTGAAATATGGGCATCAAACGTTAGGTTTTCATCTATGATAACTCCAAGATATTTGGTCATTTTAGAGCGCGCAATCGGTTCACAGTTACAGCCATGCAGATAATCATTCCTGCACTAATGAATTGTTAAAGGAATAGCAATCGGAGGACTCGTTCGTCTAGATTTAGAAAAGCATAATGTATGTAGTCTTTTTCTGATTTAGTGTAAGTAGATTTACATTTAAGGACATGGCAATCCGAGATAGGCCTTGTTCCGCGGTACTGTATACTCGACTCCATGTCGTATCGTGAAACAATATGGTTGTATCATCTGCGTAAGCGATTACATTTGAATTAGGCAATTTTTGTTCGAGGATATCGTTCAAGTACAAAGTGAAGAGAGTAGGTCCAAGGGTACTGCCTTGGGGAACACCAAAATTAACATGCAATTGCCTACTAGTGTGTTTTCCTACTTTTACGCACTGTTTTCGCATTTTAAGGTAAGTTTCAAACCATTGAAGTGTATTTCCTCTTACTCCAGCGGCTTCTAGCTTTTTCAATAGGAGGCCAACAGAGACAGTGTCAAAAGCTCGCGATAGGTCGAGAAAAACACCTATGCAACATTTCCCACTCTCCACGTGTTGTGATATCTGGTCAGCTAGTGCTGCTACAGCGTCGTCGGTCGATTTTCCCTGTCGAAAACCATATTGCTTATCCGAGATAATCCGATTTTTATGTAGAAAACGGACAAGTTGCCTATTCACTATCTTCTCTAGAATTTTCGATATGATGCTAAGTAAAGAGATTGGTCTGTAGTTTTCCGGCAAGGTTGGAGAGCCATTTATGAAAATAGGTGACACTGCTGCAGTTTTCCAGGATTCTGGAAAAACTCCCTTTTCTAGGCTTAAATTAAATATGTGAACGAGAGAAATAATAACATTACTGCAGGACTTTTTAAGCAGCGTAACAGTGACATGGTCTAATCCTGGGGAACTGTTGGCTTTTAGGTTGTGAATGATTCGGCTCACTTCTTGTTCGTCAGTAGGATTCAGATAGAAAGAATTTGGGTTAGATTTTGAACATCTGTGATTCTTGATAAGTTGGTCTTGAGATGTGCCTAAGTTACTTAAATTTTTTTCAGCGTAGACCTCCCCTACTGTTACGAAATGGGGATTACATTGGTCTAAAGATGAAGTTGGGTTGTTCAGATCCTTGATAAGTTTTATGGGGTGGGATTCTGACGTAGAATTATAGCATAGGCTTTTAATTTTATTCCAAAAACTACGTGTATTGTCTTTGTTTTCAGTAATTTCCTTTCTGTTATGTTCAGCTTTAATATTCCGTAGTAGAGTGTGAAAAAAGTTTCTATACCGCGTGTAGACCAATAATTTACGTTGGTTATTCGGATCAGCTCTATACTCAAGGTGCAATTTGTCCCGGTGTTTCATGCATCTTATTAATCCAGGGGTGATCCAGCATTTTATGTTGCTCTTTCTGCGACCTACTTTAACTTCCTGCGTGTACTTATTGATTGCGTATGTAATAGCATCATTAAATTTGTTTGAGGCGGTGTTAACATTATTTTCGCTTGTTATTTCATTCCAGTGCAAACTGTTGATATATGAGGCAACCGACTCCCAGTCTGTTTTTCGTATCATGCGTACTTTACTTGTATGTCGGTGGATTTGCAAAAGAATTTCAGCCAGAGCAAAATCATGATCCGTAATAGATGATTTGCAGACGAGGCCTGAGGATTTTGTCTCAGATTTTATGAAGATGTGGTCAAGGCATGAGGCTCCTCTAGTTGGCTTTGATATCGCTGGATATAGACCATGAGATGCCATCAAGCATAAATAGTTGGCTGCTTGTGCACTCATTGGATCATTTATATTAATATTAATGTCACCTGCAATTACTAGGGTTATTTTGTGTTGAATGTCAGAGAGTACAGAGTCTAAAGAGGAAATAAATCGATCGGTATTTGAGAAGGAAGGAGAGCGGTAAATTCCTAGGACTGTAAGGTCGTTATTTATATTTATGAGGAGACTATCAGCGTCATCCAATTTATGTACCTGAGGTGCAATTTCACTATTCCATGAGTTTTTTACGTAAGCGACGATCCCACCGCATTTGTTTACTTGTGATAAGGATTGATAGATTTTGTAACCCTCCAATGGTTCAAAAATGATACCATCACACAGCCAACATTCCGTCAATACAATGACATCAAAATCCAGGTCCAAACGTTTGAGAGCTATTTTAAAATCGTCAAAGTTACGTTGATAACTTCGTATATTGAATGTCAAAACTTTTAAACTATGCTCATCATTAGTAAGAACATTTTTCCATAGAGTCTATACTACGACAGTCTATGGCCAGTGATTCATCTATATCATTAGCAATGCTAAGTAAATCCATGTTTAATTAAAATAAATATTAAGACAAAAAATAATATTGTTCTGTTACTGAAGTTGCTTACAGCTGCAAGAGTGGCAATGTTGTTATTAATTCGTGAAAATAACTTTAAATCTTTGTTGGTGTGTATTTCATTGTGACTGCTTGTGTATAGTGTAGTGAGCTGTGTGTGTTTTATTTTGTGTATGTATAAAATTGACCTATACCTATTTTTGCGTAAATCAATTGACAAGAATTGGTAAAATATATGAATGAATTTGTATCTTAAAACTAAATTTAATATAAAATATAAAATATGCGCAAATGCCGGTGTAGTTATAATAAAGTAAACAACGTCTTGTGAATTGCTAAACGTCTGCTTGAGGTTGTGCAACAGGCGGGCAGTGACGTAATAAGTCGGAGGAGTTCCGGATCGTAATTGGAGGGCTTCCCTCCTGTTTACGAATATTGACAGCGCCATTTTTGATCCAGCAGAATCTGAAGCCACATTCCTTGGCTATCTGTCTTGAAATGCGAAATAACTGCCGATTTTCTTTAGTCAGCCGCTCATTGAAGTAAATGTTTCTTGCACTGCTTGGTAAATCTATATCCTTACTATTGCGGTTGCGTCTAGATTTTCCTGCGAGTAGGAACTCATCCCGCTTATTCCGTCGTAGAAATCTCGCAACTAGTGGACGAGGTTGCCAGTCCGTCGGTGACTTACTGTCATCGTTTGTATCGCTGACTTTTTGACGGGAACCCACACCGTTACGTAGTCTAAGTCGTTGGCGTCGAGGTTGATTACAATTTTTGCGGCCGTTGTTAAAATAATGTGCACCGGATTTTCGTTGCTGGTTTCTGTTATGCCCGTGATTTCAACTTCGTTCTTTAGGTGAATTTGGGCTTGAGTATTAATTTCCTGGTTAAGCTGTTCAATAGTAGAATTCAACCTGAGGACCTCCGATTCATTTTTTTCAAGCGCGCGGATTTTATCCTCTGTTTGCGATAACTTGATTTCATAGTCATCTAGTCGTATATTGCACTGCATCAAGTGATCAGTTAGTGACTTGAGGTGGGCTTTTAATTCTCCTACGTCTTCGCGAAGTAATTTTATTTCCGAAGCCAGCAGAGATAACTGACATGAGTTTGCTGCCAAAGAGGGTGATTCAACCACCACTGGACTACGGGTGAGCGTATGGGTTTGTTCGTGTTATCGATTTTTGGCGTCGCACAGCGGCACTGTGGGCATATCCATGTTGATCTTGTTATCTCTGTAATCTTACGATACTCGGACATATTAACACACAAAGGGTGGTATTGGTAATCGCACTTTGTGCATTTCATTAGTTGGTTTCCCCTTATAGTTTTATTACAAGCTGCGCAGTTTACCATATTGACAAATATTGTGATATTCTACTTTGTGAGACAGTTGTAAAAATATAAAATCTATTCGTATGCAAAGTTACAATAATTACTCACGCGTGAATTCTCAACCCACCCGCCGTCGCTTAAAACCGACTTGTCGAAAAAGGATGAATTATTTTATGTGCGTAGCCCGTCCTCTTTTACCCGATGTGAAATGGGGCTTTTCTCAGCTCACGTAGATGTCGAAATTGCACTTTTAGGTTAAATAGATATTTATCACTCTGCACACCAAACTAGCGGTAGTTACTGTTAATTTATGGATTATTTTGTTATGCATAAAACCTGTATTTCAAAACGCACAGCGACACGTTCGCACAGTTGACTGTCTGGATTCGCACTCCTATATATAATATGCAGGATTATATTACTTAAATTCTCCCTTCCACTCCCTTCATCGCACAACCAGACGTTCGGCCATTCTCCACAATTGTTATCTTGTTGCTGACATGCCACACATTCGAAACAGACAGACATACTTAGTCGCTCGTAATGCTTACAGGATTGGAGTGAAATAATTTGCCAGCATGTGTTTTTCTATCCGATTACAATGTGTGTGTCTTCATTGCAATAGTGAGATTTATCGCATTAGTATAGATGAATTATAATCGGAATGATTTCAGTCGCGAAATTCCCCCATTGTGCATCGCCACATTCAAACTTGGAAATTATTAAAAAAACAAACTTACATCTTTTTACAAGTGTTGCAGTTGTTCATGATCGGCGGTCGACATTTACCATTAGGGATCCAAATGCCCGTTTGTCCATTATTCTATAAAAAAATATAAGCTAAGGCAGTATGTGGTATCGTCGGCTGCATCAACACTTACCATCGCTATATTTCGCTATATATAATTATTAATAATATTTAATAATTAATCGTTCAAAGGGTCTTAATTTGTACTATAAAAGTATAATATTGCAGAAATATTCGCAATTCAAATGTGACCAATGTTAAATATAACTTAAAAGTTGGCACCAAACACATAAATAGGTGTTAGATTTTATTTTGTTTAATTTAATTTTATTTTTTTTAAACTATGTATATGATAAATCCACTTGTACGTTTCATTTATTTTTTTATTTTTCATTTATTTCAGCAAAGTAACAGTTTTAATTACAATATAATTTCTTCATGCCATTAAAGACAATTGTGTTTGTCTTGGCACTGCACAGTTTGCTCTAATATATTATTTTACATTATACTTTTATTTACATAATATTGAAATTAATCTTTAGGGGGTTTTGGCGGGAAATTGACCGGCGGCGGTTTGCTGCTCCTGTATTATTGTTTAAATAATGGTTTGAAGTGGACTTTGATATGTAAAAGTGTTGCGATTTTGTGTATTAAGTGTCTACGCATGTGAACTATTAGTGGAAACAGTGAAACAAGTGCTCTGATGGTGATGGATTCTCAAGATAAGCTGTTTGTTTGCATAGGCACCTTTAGATACCATCGCCAACTATCAGCTGTCTGCTGGATCAAGTTGCCGCCAAAATCTCCCAAGAACTGCACAATGTGACGCATCAACATATTGTAAAGCAGTATACTATGAAGGAGTGGGAAAATTACAATAAACCGAATAAAAATACTTAAGACTTGGCCTAAAGGTCTAGATACCAGGCCATAAACTCCAAAAAAAAATTAATCTTTACTTAAAATAAATATATAGCCATTTTAAAATTGTGTGAAAGAATATTAAACATTTTTTTGTGTTTACATTATTTTGTATAAACTTTGTAGTAGATATTTCTTAAACTATAATTATTTTTTTCATGGAGAGAGAAAAAAATCAAAACTACCCGTTTTGACTTTTTTTTTACAAGAAACATTGAAGCAAAAATGTGATTGTTATTGTCTTCGATTGTTCGACTCGCCTATACACTATACTGTAAATTAATTACGCGCATACACACGTTATACATTTATAAGGAATAGTTTTTTTTTTTGTTGGGATTTATTTGGTTGCACGTTTTGTTTATTTGTCCGTTTTTTTTTGCAATATATTAGCATGGATAAATATAAATCATCATGATTATCATTAAAATATATTTTTTAACAATTCTAATAATAGAACAAATAGAATTACATAATATCGACTAATTATTAACTTCTATATAAATGGGAAGACTGGTCTCCACGACACAGGGAATCCTAGTGTGGAGGCCAGTGATACTGTTTGAAATTATACATGATAAAATATGAGACATATAAATATGTAACATAACAGTAACTAAGTCAGTATCTGTATATTTTTTTGAACTGAATAAATATTTCTTATTTCTTATTTCGTCAAGTGGTATAGTAGTCGAGCACTGGCCTATAATAGTGTTACGAGCTTGGGATTCGAGATAATTAAAAACTGCCGAGTGAATTACCAAAATTGACTATTTAATTACACAACACTAATTACAACTTAAAATCACACTAATAATAAAACACAGTTCGCCTTTATTTCGCTTCGAAGTATTCTCTTGTATCGCCAATTCAATACTGCCCCGGTCGTGGTCTATACCGGCCTTATATAGGGCCTCAGATAGTTTCCAGAACCTTTTACTGTAGCGACATCTAAAATGTTTGAGTACATATCGGTCCCGAAATTTCTGGAAGGATCTCGACTCTCCTAGTTCTGCTACTCGACACTAGAGGGCGCTAGTGTAACTAATGTTGCCATGTACAAGACATTAATAGTGGCGCGCAACACTGCCCCCTCCTAAGACTATTGGCCCCATAATAACGCGCCAGTCGATCCACATGGACAATCTTAGGAGTACCTCTGGCACCTTTCTGTATCCGGTAGGTTACGTCATTGATCCTTGTCAAAATCCGGTACGGTCCGTCCCATTTAGCTTGCAGCTTAGGAGATTTCCATTTGCTGCGAACTGGATTGTGTAACCACACTAGTGAACCTTCATCAAACCCTTTGTTGTTCATTTTGCGGTCATACCGTGTTTTCATCTTCTCAGACGTTTGCTGGCCTGTCTGTCTGACGTGCTCATAAATGTCATTCATTTTTTTCCGCAAGTCGTTTGCATAATCGGTTATACTGCGTGGGGCATCAGGTGGTGTTTCGGTGATCAGGTCTGCAGGCAGCCGCAATTCTCTCCCAAAGTTTGCGAAAGCTGGTGTCATTGATGTACTTTCGTGAACAGCGCTTCGATATGACAACAAAAACGGTTGTGTGTGCCTGTCCCAGTCTCGTTTGCCGTTTTTCCACAACTTTTGCTAGGTATCTCTCCAATGTCTGATTAAATCTTTCTACCATTCCATCAGATTGTGGGTGGTAAGAAGTTGTTCGTGTTTTCTGAGTACCCATAACTCGGCAAGTTTCCTGGAATATTTGAGACTCAAAATTCCTTCCTTGATCGCTGTGAATCTCTAAAGGTACTCCAAAACGACAGAAGACTTCATGAACTAGTTTATCTGCAACTGTTGAAGCTTCTTGATTTAGAATGGCGAAGACTTCTGGCCACTTATTGAAGTAATCCATCACTACCATGAAATACTTGTTACCACTTTCAGTTTCTGGAAACGGCCCCGCAACGTCAATGGCTATCCTCTCCCATGGTGCACCAACATTGTACAATTTCATTGCGTCTCTACTACGAATTTGAGGTCCCTTTACAGCCGCACTACTTGTACATTTGCGGCACCAGTCCTCGACATCGTCACGACAGTGGACCCAGTAAAACCGTTCTCGGATCTTCAGGAGAGTTCTTTTAACTCCCAGGTGGCCTCCTGAACAACCACTATGGTACAGCTGTAGAACATCCGTCACTTTAGCCTTAGGGACAACCATTTGCAAATGACACCTGTCTCCCCGACCATTTTCCTATTAACGGCACAGGACTCCATCCTGAATCAGCAAGCTGTCCCATTGGGCCCAATAGCTTTTCGTGGTCGAACTCATTACTGAGACGTCACTTCACTTGGACTTAGGAGCACTGGCCTTCATCCATTCCAGAATCGGCTTAATGTCCGAATCTTCCTGCTGTGCATGTTGTAAGCTGTCCTTCCATTCATTGCTGAGCTGGACTGTCCTGAATATCCTCGCAGATACCACTTCTTTACCCTCTTGCCTAGTACAATGCTTGCAATCTTCAGGGCAAGGTCTTCTTGATAATGCATCTGCATTACCATGAGATTTCCCGCTGCGATGTTCGATCACAAAGTCGTATTCCTGTAGTAGTTCAATCCATCTCGCAACTTGTCCTTCCGGATTTTTGAACTGCAATAGCCATTTCAGTGCAGCATGGTCAGTTCGTAACTAGAATTTCCGCCCCAGGAGATATATGCTAAAATGCTGCGAGGACTTTACCACAGTAAGCAATTCCCGTCTTGTGACACAATAGTTCCTTTCCGGCTTTGACAATGACTTGCTGAAGTACGCTATCACAATCTCTTGATCACCATTCCGTTGAGACAACACACCGCCAAGTCCTATATCACTTGCGTCTGTGTCAACTATGAATTCCTTGCCCGCATCAGGGTACCCCAAAATAGGCGTTTTGCACTGACGGTTCTTGAGCTCCTGGAATGCAAAATCGCAACTTTCATCCCAGCAGAAATGTCGCTTCTCCTAGGTTAGCGTGTGCAGAGGTTTGGCTATATCTGCAAAGTTCTTCACAAATCGCCGATAATAAGAGCACAAACCCAAAAATGCTCTAACCTGCGTCTTGTCATTTGGAACCGGCCACTCCTTGACAGCGGCAATTTTCTCTGGAACCGTGCGGATACCATCTTCCGACACTACATACCCCAAAAAACTAACTTGCCGTTTGAATAGTGAGCATTTCTTCGGACTCAACTTGAGGTTGGCACTCTGGATCTTTGTGAGCACACGTTCCAGGTTTTGAAGGTGTTCCTCAAACGTACGGCCTACAATGATGATGTCATCCAAATAGACTAGACAGGCATCTCCAATTAGCCCGGTAAGTACAAGCTCCATCAACCTTTCAAACGTTGCTGGAACATTGCACAATCCAAACGGCATGACTTTAAATTGCCACAGCCCCTTTCCTGTGGGGAATGCAGTTTTCTTCTTGTCCTTAGGGTCAATTTCAACCTGCCAGTAGCCACTTTTCAGATCCAGCATACTAAACCACTTTACGACTGTAAGCATGTCCAGCGTGTCATCAATTCTTGGCAAGGGATAGCTGTCCTTCTTTGTAACGTCGTTCAGGTGGCGGTGGTCAACACAAAACCGCATGCTGCCGTCCTTCTTCTTTACCATCACCACAGGTGAACACCATGGACTAGATGAAGGTTCAATAACACCATCCTTCACCATTCCCTCAATCATGGTTTCCACTTCCTTTTCGCGTGTTACAGGCAATCTTCTTGGTCGCTGACGAATAGGCAATTCTTATCCTGTGTTTATTTTGTGTTGAACTAAGCCAGTCTTTACTATGTCAGCTTCGTTTGACGAGAAAACATTGGCGTACTTGAGTAACAACTTCTTCGCCTTGACCATTTCATTCAGGGAAAGAACGCTGCGACGTTCTTCTAAAAGTGTGGTCACTCTCGTTTGTCCATCCTTGCTGGGGGTCCCGGTCGATAGATATTCGCACCGACGCAACCAATCCACTTCCTCACTAGTACCAACCAATGTGCCTTTTTCTATAATCTGTTCCGGATCACAAAGGTTCAACACACGTACTCCTGAGATGTCGGTGGTTCTGACCAAGGTTCGAGCCACTTTCCATGGAAGGTCATTGTCTACCCTTTCCACAAGTACACAACGATGAGCTTGCCCAGGACTCCGAGGAAGACTAACCGGCACAATCGTTTCCGATCTCGGCGGAAGAACAATCTTCTTAAGGCTGTACACATTCCCTGGTAACGCCCCTTCCACGAAAAGTTCCTTTTGTCCACATTTCAAAACACCTTGCTTAACGTCGATCTCACAACAATTCTTCCTCATAAAGTCTAGGCCCAGGATGCAGTCGTCCATTATATCAGCCACGATGACATTATGCAGGTAGATCATGTTGCCTAGTTTCAACTACATCTCCTTCTCTCTACGGACTGGTATGCGCTGACTGGTGGCTGTCACCAAATTAATGCGTTCGCGGTTGTATGCGGAGTCCCCAAGAAACTGATTTATAAGTTGGGAACTGACAACCGTGCGAGAGGCTCCAGTGTCTGTGGTCAGTTTACACGGCTTTCCGTTGACCTCGCCCTTGATGATCAGGCTGTTTCCATCACGGGTTTGTGAGATCGAAATCCTTGGGCTCTTTTAACATCAGCCAGCACCCGCCAGTTTCCCTGCTGCTGCTGGGCGGTGCTGTCAGCCACACTACCCTCTCGATATCGATCACCTTCCCTTTTTACAGTTCGTTTGGGGCAGCTGGATCGAAGATGGCCCCTTTCCCCACAGCCGCAGCACCTAGGGCTGTAGCCCTTATTGCGGTCCTGAACTGTAGCTGATGCAACCTCCCTGACGCGGTGGTAACGATGATCCTGCCGCACGGCTTCCACCCCCAGTGCATGGGCCAAGGCGTCCTTAAGCGTCTCGTGGTGCCCGAGCCTCACAGCAGCTCTGACTTCAAGGTCGCGGATGCCGTCGATGAATGTCTGCACCAGGTTCCCTACAATGAGCGCAGGTACAGACTGGTACGCTTTTCGAACCAGCTTCTCCATCTCAAGGGCCCACTGCTGCAGGTTTTCGTTACTGCGTTGCACGCGATCTTTGAGTTGCGCACAAAAGACGTGTTCCAGGTGAGCATCGCCATATCTCACCTCCAATGCCTCAAGGAGCTGCTCGTAAGTCACTTTCTTTCCGAGAGCTTCCAGAACAGTTAATGCCTGGTCGCGTAGGCCTAGGGTGAGAGCAGTCATGGCCTGACTTTTATTCTAGCCGTTCACTTTCATGACAGCCTCGAACTGGATTTTGTAGGCCGACCAGGAAGAACTCCCGTCAAACGGCGGCACTTTGAATCCACGTAGCGAAGGTGTTGTAGCTACTACGGGAGCTGTAATTCTATCCCCAAGTTTGAGGTCGTCCAGCGTTTTCTTCACATCAGCCACTACGTTGTCAACCCGATTGTTTACTTGGTCGATTCGGGTTTCAGCTTCCGACAGGCGATTGTCATGTTGAGCAACCCTATCCTTCACCTCCTTTATCTCTTTCCCGAAGGTAGCGTGAAGGTCCTTCCTGAGGAGCATCTGTTCTTCCATACCGCGCTGCAGCTGCTCTTCCAACCGACGGGTCTGTTTCTCCTGTCGGCGGGCCTGTCACCATCATCAGAGCACCTAAGTCAGGTGCTACAGATGCAGGAGCTGCTGACGGGCTGGCCTCCGTGGTTAGCAGCTGGCCTTCCGGCGTTTGCGGCGTTGCATTACCAAATCGTCTCTGGTCCATCTCCTGTTGGCGGTGACTTCGGGTACGGATACCCTCCATGTCGTGTTTAGGTAAAATCGGCATATTTGATCCCACTTCTGACATCAATTGTTACGAGCTTGGGATTCGAGGTAATTAAAAACTGCCGAGTGAATTACCAAAATTGACTGTTTAATTACACAACACTAATTACAACTTAAAGTCACACTAATAATAAAACACAGTTCGCCTTTATTTCGCTTCGAAGTATTTTCTTTGTATCGCCAATTCAATACTGCCCCGGTCGTGGTCTATACCGGCCTTATATAGAGCCTCAGATAGTTTCCAGAACCTTCTACTGTAGCGACATCTAGAATGTTTGAGTACATATCGGTCCCGAAATTTCTGGCAGGATCTCGACTCTCCTAGTTCTGCTACTCGACACTAGAGGACGCTAGTGTAACTAGTGTTGCCATGTACAAGACATTAATAGAGGCGCGCAATACTTTCATTTACTCGACACTAGGGGGCGCTAGTGTAACTAGTGTTGCCATGTACAAGACATTAATAGTGGCGCGCAACAATAGTTACAGATAATCTTTGTAGACTCCTTAATTGTGTTATTGTTAGTTATTAGTCTGATGATATCAACAAGAAGTCGTGTATCAACTCCTATTTGCGGTTTTGAAGTAAGTTCGACACTACAATGTTACCACCTATTGGAATGCAGACTTCAGAAGATCACAAATCGACCTAAAGTATCAGAAAGTAGCAAATAATTTTATATGATCACCAGCATATAGCGAGATTGTGTATCCTTACTATAGAATTTCTTAGGTGTATTATGTTACCATGCAGTAGCGGTGTACGTATATCCACTATCTAATATCGTCCCATGGTTGTCTTAAGAGATGACAAAGGGACTGTTCACGCACAACCGAGACGTACATGCGAGGACTGCTGGCTCTGCGGGGAGATTCGATGATTCACACAGAATATTGATACCTCGACCTTGGTGGCCGACCCACCCCCGCGTTTTGACAGCTGCCCTCTAACCGTATGCACGAGACTCATGGATTTCCTTTTAAATTTGTAATGTTCCTTTGTTTTTTTATATTGAATAAGGATGAAAAACAAGCACACAGTGAACACGATGGTAAGTATATGCTGTGGTCCATAGACATCTACATTTACCTTCGATTATGTATCAAAATACAGATGTCTTGTCACCCCTGAGGACTAAGATGGAATGCCCCGTTTCCTGTAGAAAGGGTCCCCGGTGCTCTGCACTTACCATAGGAACTAAGCTGCTGTGTTACGCTGGTATTCTGTGAGAGCGTGAACTAACCCTGGTGGAGGTGATCCATTTGTGCTACAACCACAATATAGCTGCAACGTGACTCTATTACATAGAAAAACCGTCTACTCTTATTAAACTATATATCAAATTAAAAAGTGATTTATTTACTAAGAATTTACAAACTATTCCAATGTACTACATTAAAACATTATTATAGGTATACAGTTTACAAAGGCATCTGGTAAGTAATAGTATATGTTCACGCCCTGAGTTGCCCCAACAAAGATTGACTGGACTAGGGCCCATGAGTAATCCCATCGACGGACAACAGAGGACGGGGCCCAACGGCCTCGGGATAAATGTTCGAAAAATGGCTGACAAACAAGCAAGCACTTACCTATTTCAGGAGGTAGGGTTGACCACAGGGTACCAGTCAGGTGATAAGTGAGGTGCATGTAACTAGTGTATAGTAGTGTATATATGTGACCTGACGGCCCGATTTAATCGGACAGAAGACCCACCGGAGCTGATGTTCTCCCAATGTGCAGACGTAGATCACCAATTGAAAATTTCTGCCTTAATTTCACTATTTCAGTTTATATACTTTATTGTACACTATTTCAATCCAACAACTTTATTGTACATTTAATTAACCTCAAACTCAACTAAATCCCCGTTATTCTTAATCAAACACGGGACACAAGGCACAACTAATGAACGGTCGTTCAAAGTTCAACTTCCATTTTCACTTAGCAACAAAATTATAGCCACACATACGAACGCGATCTCTTCTCGAGTCACAAGGTTCAGCGTTCCAAACAACAAACTAAATTCTTTCGTACGATATTACCCGCTCACATAAGCAAATTGAATATTGCCAATGCGCTTAAAAATGCAATCACTATTCAAATTGACGTAAATTAACGACACTTATTAGAGGCTTCATTTTACACGCGACCTCGCAGTTATAATAGCTTAACTGCAATCTATAATCTAATACGAACGCGGTATCCGAGCGGGTCACCAATTTTTGCAAATACGTTTTAACCGACAAGAAACAATGTCTCCGTACTATATTAATCAACTCAAACCGACCTCGTTATCGCTTAAACTTAAGAAACGGACAACTCAAATTAAGAGGCTGGTCAGTACGCGACCACGCCGTTCAACTGACTGCGCTGCATTGTTAACTTCCGACGCGCCACACCCAAACCAACTCTGCTCGTGCGAACGTCAAACCGGTACGAATGCACCGTGCCGAGCGCCTTCTGGCATCAATTCTTAAAAATAGCGTTTGGCGCGAACAGTATACATAGAAGTCTTTAATAGTTTATAATGATAGTTGCAGTGTGGTGACATTAAAATAATGTTGTACTTCATATTAGCACATACGTGGGACATCGGTTTAGTTGTTTGAAACACGCGTTAGTGCCCCCGGTCTCAAACTTACTTAGTTTGTGCCATAAAACTCTGTTTTCTTCCACGCGCCCAACAGTGCCGTACGAATTTTGGCGGTGTTTGTTAAAGCACGTAGTATAAATTATTTCAAAGTGTCGTAACGGCGTAAAATAATTATTTCACCACCTCATTGGACAGTAGGTGTCGTAATAGGCAACTATGATTTATAGGAATGCCAGTAAAAAAATCTCCTGATAGATGGCGGTTTAACCATATCATGGAC